ACTTATGAGATGCTTGTCTATGATTATAAGTCCAAAGGAATGTTTGAGAGGTGTGTTTTAAAGCAGAATGACTTTAGAGGACCTTAAAATATGCCACACTGACCTCGACAGAATGGCCCTAATGCTTCGCTTGTTTTTTAAATTTATTGCATTTAGGAGATTTTGGCCCCTCAGTCCCAGACATATGTATAACTGGATCAGCAGAAGGTAAGTATTAGGTAACTAAGTTTATTAGAAACTTAAAAGAATACAATTTCCAAAAAAATTTTTTACAATATTTTAACATTTTCTCAGGTTGGTCAGAACTTACATTTGAAATCTGATCTTTAAATGTCAATTTAGTAACTGATGGGGCTGACCACACTCCTGGAAAGTCTCAGCAAGGCGTGAACACTACTTCACACCCAGTTGCAATGAGACAGCATCTAGATCCCTGAGCAATGATTTAGACTTTCTAGGACTGGTCTCCTTGATATTCAGTAACAAGGCACAGGGTTTCCCAAGCTTCTTTCCTTCTCCAGTACTTAAGTGGCTAATGAGCTGTTTCGCTCTACTTCATGGCATACATAAGTCATATCACTCTAGGTCCATGATCTACTTAAGCCCCAACTTCTGTAAAAAATGGAAAAAAAAACTGGGAAGGAAAAGAAAAGCACCACTATACAGCCAGCTAAAATTTTTAACTTAGCAACCTTTTCCACATGACCACCACTATACTACTTCTTGCACAGTTGAAGAAAAAGCAACTGACACATCCTTTATATGCTTTTTCACTTTCACCCACTTCTCTTAGATACTTCAGTCTACAGTACTATAAAGCAAATCTGAAAACTTTACATAACATTTCATGGTGGACTTACACTCAACAAATTAACAATGGCAAAAGGATTTCCTTGATGAAATTACAAGCTGGGGAAGACTGGAAATAGTAAAAGTTAAACCCTGATACAGTGTTAAACTTATCTTTTTACATATAAAAATAATACACAGTGGGATATTTTATTCAATAAGATACAATCTTTAAGATCAAGAGAGAATATACAAAACTACTGTATGTAGTATGATGTATTTTACTGTATAATAGGAATAAATATATATAGAACAGGAAGTGCGAGGTCTGCTCATAGAGAAATCACCGTTTACTCAGGGGTTTAAAGCCAAGTGCTCTGCAGGTACCAGTCAGAAAGGAGCTACGGCTGCATTTAAACAATGTGACCACTATAAAACAAAGGCCTTAAATCCATAAACAACAGAACACACAAACCAAATGAAAATGTACTAAAATTTAATCATCCATAAAAGCTGTAATTTAATCTGACAGTAAAACACAAGAAGCAATATTAGAGTTGGTTTAGTATATTATATATTTTAGCTTTGAAAGCCATAGAAATCAGTATCCCAGTTTTTTCCCTATAAAAGACCCATTTTTTCCAAAGCATTATGCACAAACAATTTTAATTAGAATATAATGACAGAATGATATTTCATAATTTTTTAAATATAAAATGAAGTCAATGACTCAAAAAAGTTATCTGCTGCAATGAGTTTGAGGGGAAATTTTCATAATCTATACCATTACAGATATAAAGTATAATGGTTCAACTTTTTAGTGCTTGACAGGGAGGAAACATGATAAAAAGGTCAATATGAAATCATTTGATTATAGTAGCAATATCTAACATTTGAAATGCATCCATGCTCTTTTGTATAATCATATTAGAGTCAAGTATATTTATTTTCACATCTGTTATAACTGCTATTGCAAAGGAGAAATACTATTGTCTTATTTTCCAAGAGATATACACAGAGCAATTCTTTTCTCCAGGGAACTTGTGCAAACCAATATAAGATCTAAATTCTTCACATAATATATAAAACAGGAGAAGCCTCTTCAGATTTATTTTTTGAAGTCTGGAATGCTGGCACTTTCCAATTAGGCAACAGTTCTTCATTCCTGTAATCTAGAACATTGAATAGATACAGATATATATTTATATATGTTTAATCTCTTAATGTCAGAACATGATAGTAGATATCTAATATTATAGAAAGAAATTATTTTAGCTGATCATTAGATAATTAAATATATTAAACAGATATAGTAACAAGGTTATTTTAAACTCTCTTTAAAAATGTTTTTAAAAAATAGTTTTAGTATTTAGTGTTTCACAATATATCCGGCAGTCCTGGCTGTATAGAGGAAAACAGTGATGATTTCTACCCCATTATCACCTTATTTTTAAAAGTTCCTTTTCTACTAAGAAAACAACTCACGCCTCAACTTTCCATGGAAAATTCTTTAATTCAACCATTTTATGATTATTATATTAGGGTCATAAGTATTATTAAGTGTTAGCCGTTCAGTCATGTCCATTTCTTTGAGACCCCAGGGACGGTAGCCTGTCAGATTCCTCTGTCCATGGAATTCTCTAGGAAAGAATACTGGAGTGGGTATGGAGTGTATAGCCATTCCCTTCTCCAGGCGATCTTCCCAACCCAAGGACTGAACCTGGGTATCCTGCATTGCAGGCAGATTCTTTACCATCTGAGGTACCAGGGAACTCCATATCAGGGTTACCTCTTCCAATTTAGGCTAGGTCAAAAAGAAATGATACAGAAATAGCTGATGCCTGTTTTCAAGGGCAGAAAATTCAAAGTAAGGTTTACTATTCAGCAGAAAAGAATTAGGTTAAAGGAGTAATTTCCTGAAGACGAATTTCTTTCCTCCGTTTTCAAAAGTAGGACATATTAGAAAGAGACTAACATGTTTCAATATGATTTTGCCTAACGGCTAAGGGTAGATAAGCTGCCCTTAAGGTTCACATACTCTTTCTAAAAACACTTAGTTGCTGTTTAAATTTATTCTGTATCTCAGTACCTTTTAAATGGGATCAACATGGCACTTCAAGCCTGTAATCACAGCAAAAAGCTCTACAAAGTATTCTGATTACTAAGTGACTACTATTTGGTATTATCAAATAGGCACAGAGGTCCTGGGTAACATTAAATATATTGAAGGCTGAATTACCTATCAGAGTCTAAGAATTTATGCAACCAGGATGAAAGTCTTATTTCTAGATTTAAGTCTTTTCTCTAAGGTAAAACTCATAGTAATACACTGTAGTGTGTGTATGAATGAATATTCACAAGAGGCCAGAAGATGGCACCCTTCCTTTAAACAAAAGCTAAAAGGACATTTTCACAGAACTGGAAATTCAGTGACAGTCAGCTAAGATAATGATAAAAATGAGTCAGTCAACTAACTTATAAAAGAGTTAAATACATTTCAGAATAGGAACTGAGTTCTCTTTTCTTTTTACCTTTGTACCCTTACCTAAAGAAATGCAAATACCAGCAATTTTATCAAGAGTCCTCTTCAGAGAGCTGATGATTCATAGTTACTGACTCAATATTTCACTAAAAGCCTAAGTAACCATGTGGCCAGAAGCTGTTTTTCCAAAGTTTGACTACCAGAGGAAACCTAAGAACTTTTCTGCTTTCCCTCTACTTTATCTCAAAAGGGGGCATAATTACTCAGTTGTTTCCCCTAAGAGAGATTCGTTCATATCTCTAAGGAAGCACATATTAGTTAACTTGGTGCTCTGGCAGAGGTAATCTACTAAATGGACCCAAGGGGCTTACAAGAGTTAGCACAACCAACTCTCAAGTGGGGAGCAACTGACTTCCCTCTAAGTGGACCAAGTTTAGTAACAGTCCCATAATTAGCATCAAATTACATCATAAACCCACTTCATGAAAATATTCTTTCATGGTATGGACATGAGTTTGAGTAAACTCCAGGAATTGGTGATAGACAGGGAGGCCTGGTGTGCTGCAGTCCATGGGGTCGCAGAGTCGGAAACGACTGAGCTACTGAACTGAACTGAATGTTTATAGAGTTGATGAACATAAGCAGAAACTGTTCAGGGGATTTAAGTATATAATTAAAGAAAAACAAACAAATGGCCCGACACAGCCTGGTTTCTCACTTGACAGGCAGCTTCAATGCTGCCACTAATTTTTCTCCAATGGGTTCACGTAACGAAAACTTAAGTGCTACTTAAAGTCAACTACTACTTAAGAGACCTACAGAAGAAACATCTGAAAGAAGTCAACCCATACCTGAGAGGAAATGATTACTAAAACTACACTGACATACCACCACACCCAGCAGAATTGCTCAAGTTACAAAAACTGGCAATACCAAATTTGGGAAGGATGTGGAATTCGTAAACTGCTAGTATGGGTGTAAACTGGTACAACTACTTTGAAAAACTTCTTAACAGTTTCCACTAAAGCTAACCACATATACAGTGTACTGTCTGGTCATTCAATTCCTACATATAGAAATGCATATGCATACATGTATATGTGCATAAAGACTTGTACAAGAAAGTGCACAGGAATCATACTTGTTCCTGAAAAGAACTCAAATGTCCATCAATAGCAGAATATATAAATATACTGCTAGTGTAGTCATACAATAAAAATAAACTACTGTTATATGCAATAAGGATTAGTCTTAGAAACATTTTTGAGTGAAACAAGCCAGACATAAAATAGCACATTACATGCTTTTGTTTCTGCTTAATTCAAAGAGAGGCAAAACTTTAACTTTTTCCCCAGATGAACCACTGTTTCACTTTAATTCAGTATGAATTTGGGAGTGAACTTGGAAGGCTTTCTATTCACTCAAACCACTATTTTTTGAATACCCATTCTCTACTAGGTACTGGGGGATGCTCTGGAGCAAAACAGACATGATTCTTGCCGTCCCTCAGACAGCCTAGAACCTCATTGAGAAAAAGACAAATTTTCCAACAGATGAACATATCTACAAGTTATACAACACATTTACAAATTACAGAAGCCTGGAAATACCCCAATAGGTGAAGTGGGAAGTGGTTAATGTTGGGGAAAGCCCAACCTAGAAGGATGAGAAAGGCGTTTGTTCTGCTTTTAGCACCTTACCTGGCTCAGAGCTGCTGCTTACTGTGGGTCTAGAGCAGCAGACATGATTTCTTTTTAGGCTTCTTCTTTTCCACTGGTGTTTTTCTATTTATCTGTCTGACCAGGTCATAAAATATCTAAATAAAAGCAAGAAAAGAGTAGTACTTATTCAACCAATATTTGAGACCTTTATCCACAAAACAATCTTGATTCTGTTAAATATTATTCTGCTTTCGGGTCTATATTTTACCACTTTAACAGCAGGTCTCAGACGCTCAAGCTGATTTTCAGTCAGGGTAAAGCAGGACTTATCTATTTACAATGAGAGAAACACATTTGCTCTTATATATTCAATAACAAGTTAATAAAAAGAATTAGTAGTGAAGAAATAAGAGAAGTCACATTCTTCACAGAATCTTCTATGCTTCAAAAACCTAATTATACTTGCTTTATTTTTTAAAAATTTCAAACTTACAGAAAAGGTGCAAGATTAGTACCAAGAACTTAAGTATTTTCTTCACCCATATACACCAATTAGTGACATTCTGCCAAGTGTATATTTTTTCAAAGAGGAAATGCAGATGGCCAACAGGCACATAAAAAGATGTGCAACATTGCTAATCACAGGGAAATGCAAATCAAAATGGCAATGAGACACTACCTCAAATCTGTCAGAATGGCAAGCATCAAAAAGAATACAAATAACAAATGTTGGTGAGGATGTAAAGAAAAGGGAACTCTCATATATGGTTGGTGGGAATGTAAATTGGTGCAGCCACTCTGGAAAACAGTATATAAGTTTCATAACTATCATATGACCCAGCAATTCCACTCCTGGGCACATATCCAAAATGAAAAACACTAATTTGAAAAGATACATGCCCACCAATGTTCACAGCAGCATTATTTACAAGTGCAAGATATGGAAGTGTCTACTAACAGATGAATGGATAAAGATGTAGTGTACATATACAATGGAATACTACTCATCATGGGCTTAGTTGCTCAGTCGTGTCTGACTCTTTGTGACCCTACAGACTGCAGCCTGCCAGGCTCCTCTGTCCATGGGGATTCTCCAGGCAAGAATACTGGAGTGGGTTGCGTGCCCTCCTCCAGGGGATCTTCCCAACCCAGGGATCAAACCCAGGTTTCCCACACTGCAGGCAGATTCTTTTACCTTCTGAGCCACCAGGGAAGCCCACTACTCATCATAAAGAATAATTAAATTTTGCCATTTACAACAATATGTATGGACTTAGAGGGCATTAGGCTAAATGAAATAAGTCAGAGAAGACAGATATTGTGTAATATCACTTACATGTGGAATTTAAAAAATACAGCTAGTGAATATAACAAAAAAGCAGACTCAGATGCAGAGAACAAACTAGTTGTTACCCATGAAGAAAAGAAGCTGGGAGGCGCAATATGGGGATAGGGGGTTAAGAGGTACATACTATTAGGTATGCTATTTATCATACAATACAGAGAATATAGCCAATATTTTATAACTATACTGGAGTATAACCTTTAAAAATTATGAATCACTACACCATACACATATAAAATATAATATTGTACAGCGAGCATGCTCAGTCGCTGTCATGTCTGACTCTGTGTGATCCCATGGACCAGCTCACCAAGCTTCTCTCTCCATGGGATTTTCCAGGCAAGAATACTGGACTGGGTTGCCATTTCCTATTCCAGGGTTCTTCCTGACCCAGAGATTGAACCCACATTCTTGTGTCTCCTGCATTGGTAGGTGGATTCTTTAGTACTCCTCCTTCTGGGAAGCCCAATTTTGTATAGCAACGAGGTGAAAATTAAAGTGTTAGCTGCTCAGTCGTGTCCAACTCTTAGCAACCTCATGGACTGGAGTCCACCAGGCTCCTTCGTCCATGGAATTCTCTAGGCAAGCATACTGGAGTGGATTGCCATTCCCTTCATGTCTCCTACATTGCAGGCACATATTTTACTGTCTGAGCCACCAAGGAAGCCCATACAGCAACTGTACTATAAATTTTTTAAAAATTAATGGTCCCAAGATCACAAGCCTAAATTAATTGTTGAGGGGGGTACCACTACCAAACAATTTATTCAAAGCAATAAAAGTGCTTCATTTATATTCTTTTCCTTCTGGTCCATCCTACTCAGTTCCATTTTCTTCAAACCATTTAATTCTATTATCTTATTTCTAAGAAAGCTGAAAACATAAGAGTTTATTAACAAAATGGTAGTTTCTGTTTCACAACTCCAAAACCCTCTAAGAACTTAATATGCATAGTGAAAGTTGCTTAGCCACGTCCCATTCTTTGAGACCCCATGGACTTTACAGCCCATGGGATTCTCCGGGCCAGAATACTGGAGCCTTTCCCTTCTCCAGGGGATGTTCCCAACCCAGGGATCGAAGCCAGGTCTCCCGCATCACAGGCGGATTCTTTATCAGCTGAGCCACAAGGGAAGCCCATACTTACTATTATGCCTAAGATGCACAGCCATAAACAAAATTTCATTAGTTCCTCAGCTTTAATACATAAGCTATAAAGTGAAAAATAACAAAAGGATAAACTAAAATAGTAAATTAATCAAAATAGAACATTTCTTCATGCTAGCCATGTCCAGTACTAGACAAAATGATAACTAGTTTTGTTGTATTATCTTCAAGGATTTCTTTGAAGATATGGCGCCTACCTCATAGTAGCAGCTGGTTCAGTGATGAGGGCAAGTTCAAACTATGGTTATTTGGTTAGATATGCTGAAAGTCCTCAGCCTAGATTCTTCCTCATCTTTCTGAACTACAGAAAAATCTAAGGGGAACACAGAATAATTTCTTAATCCCTCTGTCATTCCTCAATTGGGATGTCTTGCTTCCAATAATTATTCTAGCATCAGCAAAGAACAATTAATTCCTGATTAAGACTGATGTGATTCTGATACAGCTATGTACTACTTTCAGAACACAACTTGTTCACAAAATGATGTGAACAAGTTTTAAAAAATTATATATTATATATTCTACAATATAGACAGTAGAGAATTAAGAGGGCCATTTAGTTAAGCAGGATGTCCCTGTATGACCTCAAACTTGAGCCCAAGAGCTGAACTGTGTTAAAGTAGGATCCTTCTATCTTCTGGCACTCAGAAATCACATATGTATTTCCAAGGTATTAGCTGTCTGAGAAACTATTAACTACCTGTAAAACTCTATAGTTGGATTATCAGGCTATCAAGATAGACATATTAAAAGAAACAAGTTATTATACTCTCAAGAATTTTTAGCATGACATTTGTATGTTTTCCAAAAGAATAAAGAGCCTTAAACAGCTAATGTGTTTCACTTTGTTGTATCATTTTTCTATTTTTATTTTAAAAACATGCATGTCAACAGTTGACTTCAGTGAGGCTACTGGTTTCCAATGCAACAGGCCTCTGAGGGAGGGAGGCCATCCCAGAGGGAAGCTTAGCAGCACTTAAGTTCCCACAAACAGGTAATGCTTGAAAGGTAAGGAATGCCTCCTGTCCCCTCTGGTCCCTGGACCCTGGCCCAGCTCAGCTCTAGCCGGGCACTATGAAATCTGTGTGTGTGTGTGGGGTGGGGGGGGGTACCAGTGAGGGTGACCACACGGATGCAGGAACTAGATCCAATCATGCTGCAGATGGTGACGTGGCACTACGATTTCCTTAGCCAAGCTCATCTATCAATCTTAATGTGCATTTTCTCAAAGAGTAAGACTAAACCAAAAATTAAAATTATGATTAGCCCTGTTTTTCAAGATAACATCTAATTCTACAACAGAGAAAGCTGAAACTGGAAGCATTTCACACTTCCTTTCATTACTTGGCAGTGAATTAGAAGTAAGCGTTGTTGAAGATCACAGCAGAACCTCCCCGCCACTGGTATGTAAACTTATTCAGGGCATAACCAGTGTCTGTCCAGATGAGTGTTACTGGTGCCTAACACAGGGTCAGGCACACAGGAACACGATGAATACTCACTGAATAAATAAAATCTGTGAATTTCTTATTTTTATGTGTTTATTTAAGCTGGTTTTACCTGAAAGGCAAGCTTTGACATTCTTTATTTTTGTAAAACAGAGGATGTGTAGCAAGCTTAAATTTTTTTTCATGCCAGATGTTTAAAATAATTTGGTCACTGTCTACAACCATAATATCAGTCAAGAAAAAGAGACCGAAAGGACCAAAGGCCAGAGAGGAATGGCAAGCAAAAACACACAGAAGCCTCTGATGACCTAACCCAGCCTTAACTTTCACCTATGTGGCTGTTGAACTCTGACTGACTACCTGTGATCCTATAAAGGGCAAAAGAAAGTCAAAGTGAAGTCGCTCAGTCGTGTCCGACTCTTTGTGACCCCATGGACTGTAGCCCACCAGGCTCCTCCGTCCATGGCTTTTCCAGGCAAGAGTACTGGAGTGGGTTGCCATTTCCTTCTCCAGAGGATTTTCCCGACCCAGGGATCAAACCCGGTCTCCCACATTGCAGGCAGATGCTTTTACTGTCTGAGCCACCAGGGCTAAGTCCTAAAAATAAATGGCAAGCACACTGGCAAAAGAGAACTTTTGCTCTACTAGGAAGGGAAAGAAGTCTACTTCTTTCTTTTTTTTTTTTGGTTTTAAAGCCTGATGTTAAAATTAACAAAAGCAAGGGAACCTCTTAACATTTTGCTTGGATGTGGTAGTGGCAGTTGGGAACTGCACTCATCCTTTAGGGATCCAGTGAACTATTGGCCCTTTACACTCAGGCAGACAAGCTTACTTGTTAAGCATTCCTGTCCCCAGCTGTGTTCTCAGGATAGCGGAATGCTTAAGTCATGGACAGAAAAAGCCTTGTACACCTGCTCTAACAGGCCTAAAAGACAGTGAATTATAGCTCTGTATCCATCCACTCTCACAGATTCTTCCTTTTGAGTCATACACCAAAGGAAAGCAGGACTCAAATTACATGACGTCTTTCTGTACAACATACGTCCGTTATAGTAACTACCTTGATTTTTATATTTTTCTACTGAATTTTACAACCTATTTACACACATCTGCATAGTTAATTGTTGTAAGACAGGGGTGATGTGCCTATTTTCACACACCACTTTCTGGTGCATCATTTAGAGGCTGAGCAGGACTTTAAAAAACACTTTCTTTAACTTAAAGTTCCCCTTTGCCAACAAGGTAAATATACGTGTTCTCATTATAGCCATCAAAGTGATTTTATACAGAGAAGGAATATAGTTTCTAGGAGTTACTTAGTGTTTTCCATAAACTGATGAAGACTGCTTAAAAGAACACTGCTTTTTCTTTTTAAAAAGTTAGTTTTGGCTGTTAGCTTGAAAAAAGGGAAAATTAAAAAGGCACTCATTTGTGCTGCCTCACAGCTGTTGGTTACCTCATTAACGTTGATCTTTGACTTTGCAGAAGATTCTAAAAAGGCACAGTTACACCACTGTCTTGCTAAATTCTGACCCTGTTCTTTGCCAACTACTCGCTCGTCTTCCAGGTCACATTTATTGCCAACCAGAATCATTGGAACCTGTGGAAAGGAAAAAACATATAATAAGCAACTAACATACTTGTTACTCGGCTTCTTATAAGCAAGCAACAACCCTCTACCAACTAAAATGTGTTAGGACTATTAGGTTCACCAAAGGAAAGTGAAAGTGAAAGTCACTCAGTCGTGTCAGACTCTTTGCGACCCCATGGACTGTAGCCTGCCAGGCTCCCCTGTCCATGGAATTTTCCAGGCCAGAATACTGGAGTGGGAGCCATTCCCTTCTCTAGGGGATCTTCCCAACCCAGGGACTGAACCTAGGTCTTCCACATTGCAGGCAGATTCTTCACCGTCTAAGCCACCAGCGAAGCCCATAAGCTTCACCAAGTGCTTTAAAAAAGGTATATGCATGTGTGCTGGGGAGAAGATCAAAGGGGAAGAGACAGAAAAAAATGGACAAGATTCTACCACATTGATCTGCTAAAATTATTTTAAGAATATAATCCCAAAATTATATTATGATTATATTATATTATAAATTAATTACATTATGAGTCTCATGTGGACTCATGCTAATGGCTGAATTTCAAGTAGAAAAATATGAAGGAAAAGGAAACGCCTGCAATACAGAGAAGAACACACTCAATGGTCTGGGTGTGTCTTAAGTGCCTCAACTCACAGGACCAACAAATGTCAAAAACATGGCACAACCAACACAGTAATAAGTGTTACTTCTAGATCTGAAAACTCGCTTAGGTGCGATATGAAGGAAGAGTAAGACTAAAAATAAAGCCACTAAGCAGCTATGTCTTCATCTATGATTCAATCTTTAGTTTATTACATGGGATAAAGAGATTAACATTATCAGAGTTCAGTGATTTACATGTAATTGCCTATGAAAAGAGAACTCTCTTAGATGAATGAGTCATGGGAAGAAAGAGAACTATGCATTAGGTTATGGTTGGTCATGAGTCATATGGTGCAAATCCCTCCTGTCTACAATATTACCCAAAGTTATGGTGCTGAGCCTGTGTTCCCATTAATTAATAATGGAGCCTGTGTTCTCCATATTTCTGTGAGAACACACAGAAATAGAAAGGAAGATAACATATGAAATTTTATATCCTAACTTAACAACTTTTGAAAAGGAACTTTGTAACTCAAAACTGAGACAAACAGGTAAAATGTAGATTTCATCTTTGCAAAAACACACAATGTTATTCATCAGATAAGAATTCCAAAACAGTAATATTTTACCACAATAAAAAATTAACATTAAAAAATCTGAAACAAAATAAAATGATAAAAGCTCAGTTAATTAAAATATTTAACATAATTCAAAGGAAATAAGTAAGTAAAAACTGTACTGACAGAATTTTAGAAATGGAAACACAGCATTACGGTTCTTGATAATGTTCCTTGAACACTGTTTCTGACATAAACTATTACCTTTCCAAGCAAACCTGAGTCCCCCTTCTGCTACCAAGTATTCTTTGACTCTTCTTTTTTCACTACACTTGTGACCCATGTAGCACATGATGGGTGCTAAGTGCAGCAGAGAAAGAAGAACTTTACATACGTGTCCTTCATTTCATGGGCTTCATTTGTAACCATCTCATCAGCACATCTGTTGGTGTTTAGTTGCTAAGTTGTGTCTGACTGTTTTGCAACTCCATGGACTGTTGCCTGCCAGGCTCCTTTGTCCATGCAATTTTCTAGGCAAGAATATTGGAGTGGTTTGCCATTTCCTTCTCCAGGGGATATTCCTGACCCAGGGACTGAATCCGTGTCTCCTGCTTGGCAGGTGGTTTCTTTACCACTGAGCCACTTGGGATGCCCTCTCAGTATATTGTCTGTAGGTAAATTTAGAAAGCTTAAAATTGTTTTTGGTTACCAGGACTCTTTTAGGCACAAGGTAGATACCCTCCAAGTCCTTATTGACAGAGAAAATGGATACTTTATACCTGGCCACAGAGAGACGACCATACTCTATATATAGAGAGAAATACTTACATCTTCTGTGTCCTTAACTCGTAAAATCTGTTCCCTCAGGTCTTGTAAGTCATTAAACGTGGACTGAGCAGTAATAGAATATACTAGTGCAAACCCTTGGCCATTCTTCATATACAAATCCCTCATTGCTGTAAATTGCTCCTATAATAAAAACATGCAATAAATTATAAATATCACTCCTGAAATGTACTGAATTGAAACAATAAAATGGAAACAATTTAAATCAGAATAATAAGTTAGCTACTGAATTCTTTATTATATATTACAGTGACAGGAAACCTAAGACATGATACACAGCTTCTGGAAAACCTGAGGTGAATGTTCCTGTCTCCTATTTACCTGACTAAAAACAAGAAACTGTAGAATTACAAGGGAAATATTAACCACTTTTTTTTTGGCTGGGCTACTGTGGCATGTGGGTCTTAGTTCCCTGACCAGGGATTGAACCCATGCTACCTGCAGCGGAAGGGTGGAGTCTCAGCCACTGGACCACCAGGAAAGTCCTCACTTTAATTTGTTTTTGTGTGATTTAGAAAAACTGTATATAACTTTTTTATATATACAGATTTTAATTAAATTATTTTGGTGCTACAAAAGATGATCTCCAAGGTAGTGTTTTCAGAAAAGTTGAAGGAGTAAACCCTGATGCCCTCCAACATTAACAGGTTGGGGAGATGAAGCCAAATCAGGAAAGGAGACTTAGAAACAATGACTGATACAGGGAGAAAACCAAGCAAGTATTGTTTCCTGGAAGTCAAATGAATAAAATTTTCACAGAGAAGGATAATGATCTACTGAATCAAAGGTTGCTGAAAAAGTCAAGGGAACTGAGGATATATGTGAGGGATGTATTCTGAATGACAGACCATGTGCTTGAAGCTACGTAAAGAGGGACTTGAGGATATGAGGGATAATCAAAGATGTTAGAATAAACAGACTGCAGGTTCCAGAGAAGTTTAAGGGTTTGAAAGGAAGTGAGCTGGAGAAACGAGATGGTGAGTGAAGAGTAAGACACTTGAAAATGAAATTCAGGATGGTATTACATGATTGGTTATCGTACAGTCTAGGGTAAAGACCAGGGGAATAAATGACTGAAGCACAGTGGAGGTCAAAAAACTGACAAGCCAAGCTACTAAATCATCTATATTACCCATAAAGATTGTATTTGGATGCCAAAATCACCAACACTTTGGACTAAAGCAGTGTTGGAGAAAGTGAGCAATCCTAAAGGAGAAAGAACTGATCTAGAATAAGATTAATGAGCATCAACTACTTTCCAACCTTTATGCAAGGTACTGGGGATAGACAAATATACAGAAAATTATAATATAGCGTGCTGACTGCTAGGATGGGAGAAATACAAGATATTTGAGAAAATAAGGGAGGATCTCTGCAGTGGAGGAAAACTTCCTTAATTTGGACAAGAGGAAGAAGAATGTCCTCACAGTTGTGGAAGCTGTGAAAGGAAGAAGCAGAAAATTTTTTTTTAAGTTTTTTAACTGTTGGGGGTCTTTGGAAACAAAGGAGAATTATTGCTGATTCAGAAGCTAGGAAAATTGGGGGTTGGGGAAAGTGGCAAGAGGGCGAGACCTCAATTCAGCCGATACAGGGCTCCTGCTGGAATAAAGATCCATTTTCTCACAAAAGGACAGAAAAATATGGTATAATTTGTATTCTAATTGCTTCAGTCTTCTCATGTTTTTTGATCTGAAACTTTCTCACCATTTATAAAGTTATAATGGGGGATATTTGTGAATTTTAAAACAACTTAAAACATTTAAGAATGCCATTCATTTTAGAGCATTGCCTAATAGGAAAAGTCTATGCATATGGAGAAAAAAAAGAAAATCATTTGTGTGCATTTTTTTGCGGCAGAATAAAACATCATTAATTAAAAAACTTAAAAAGGTAATGACAAGTGAAGATAATGAAAATAAAAGCAAATACATAGAGTTCATTAACTATATTATAGGTATTTTGTGCCAAATGATTTATAGCTACCATCTCATTTGATCAATGTTGTAGTTTAGTTGCTAAGTCACATCCAACTCTTCCGCAACCCCACGGACTGCAGCCCACCAGGTTCTCTGTCCATAGGATTTCCCAGCCAAGAATACTGGAGCGGGTTGCCATTTAGTTCTTCAGGGAATCTTCCCGACCCAGGAACCAAACCCTAGTCTCCTGCATTGGCAGGTGCATTCTTTATCACTGAGTCACCAGGGAAGCCCCCTTTGATCATTACAAGCACCCTACAATGTACTATCATCATTATACTCATTTGAAGATATGAAAAATGAGGCTTGAAATAATCCTAACGATTTTTGTTAGAAAACACTTATTCCCCCAAAAAAGAAAACACTTATCTATCACCAGCCCCTTAAGATGTTAAAATGCTACTAAAAAGCAAAAACAATTTTTAAAATAAATGAATTACCATGGTATCAAGAGACAGTCTTATTTAAGCCCAGAGAAATACCTATCTTAACTAAAATTCTGGATTTAAAACACCTTGAATACCTTTCTTTTTTTTTTTTTTAAGAGCAGTAACAGCATAATCCTCACCTCAATACAGGAAAAAAGAAACAACACACAGATTCTGTAGGTGAACTCAACATACAATTTAATAGTGATATGTGGGCATTAAGTACATCAAAGAGTTTAATGCACATAAGAAAATTTAAGAAGTTCTACATTTAGAGACTTAAGTTCTTAATCAGAACAAATGTTTTTACTCAGAGGAATCAATCAGGTGACAAAAGCCTGTTTACAAATTAAAATCTAACCAGAAAAAGGGAGAGAGAGAGAGAAAGAAACACCCTTACCGTCCCCGCTGTATCCAGGATTTCCAGCATACACTGTTGGCAGTCTACTTCAACTTGCTGTTGGGGTCAGCATTGGGGGTGGAGGAGAATAAAAGAGTAACATCAAAATGCCAGTCTGTTTTCCTCCCACCTCTTCACTCAAAGATCCTATTAACAACTGGAAGCCTTTCTCTACCAGTTTGCTGTATTGGTGGAGACCTAACTTGGTAGTATAATAAAGAATAGGAGGTCTCAAACATATTCTACCAGGACTTTTAATGCTGAGTTTAGGTATTTTTCTGACCACTGAAATATGAACACTGATTTCTGTTATTATTAGAAGGCAGTGGTCATATTCTGCAATTTAAGAAAAACAGCAATAAACAGGTATACTTCTAAAAGGAAAAAAAAACAGTATAAAGTATGTATATTTATATTATTTTTAAAACAAGGCACAAAAGTACCAGGTAGCTCAAAATATAGTCAAGATTTGGGGGTAAAGAAAACTCTGACCACTTATCACATTCAAGTCGTCAAAGTTTTACTAAAATATGCTACAAATTTAATACAGAGGAAAATTTAAGTTGAAGAGATAAAGGGAACACAATAACACTGAACTCATATAGTTCTCAAGACTTTAACAAAAAGGTACTTCTTTGGAAAAGCTGTGTGCATAAGGTGAAATTTTATGTACTAAATTCTATTTTCCCAGGGTTTTACAGAAGAAGAGAAAGCTGGCCAAAAGAAATTACCAACTATTAATGGTTTGGAAAATTTTTAATAAAGACAGGATTAAGAAAAGTGCTTCAGCACTCAAGGTACAGATCTCTGTTTATAGTTAAGCTTTAACCAGCAACTTATTTGGGGGAAATTTCAGTAATGCAACACTGTCTTCTAAAAATAAACTTGTTAACCTAAGGACTATTTTAAACTGCTTCTGTGTCAAATAAAGGATTGATGAAGAGGACCATGAGCAGTACTACAAACTCACACTCCACCACTCATGGGACTAATGTGGTAATAATCTGCACAATCTGTGAGGGGGCATGTTCAACGAATAATATTCAACAAATAATGAAATAGGTCTGTGGTTTCTCAATATATCACAATTTTGTTTCCAATTTGCTGATAATGAAACTGCTCTCCTCGTAGACTTAATGAACTTAATTCAGCAAGAGTTACAGTACTATTTAAGGTAAATTCTAAAACATCTGACAATACAGCCCTTTCTTATTTGTTGAAAGGCAGGTTTAATCTTTTGGATGGGGGCACCTAGCAGGCTTTCTTACAACACTGTCTTTTCTATCCCATAACATACTTGGGAAATAAAATCATGCAAGTTCTCCACAGTTCTAGCTAGTCTTATAATTAAATAAAGCAATACTTTTTGTCAAGACCAACTATTAAAATTTATCTTCCTTTTAAATAAGTGTTACTTTTCAGAGAGTAGTTTTTGGTTCACAGCAAAACTGAGCAGAAAGTACAGAGTTCCCATATATCCCTTTCCTGCTCCGTGCTATCCTCACCTCAGCATCCTACCTACATCAGAGTGGTACATGTGGGAGGATCAATGAACCTACCTACATCAACACATTATCATGCAAAGTCCATGGTTGGCAGTTTTACGCTTGGTGTTGTGCTTTCTACGGGCTGGGACAAAAATGTACAGTGCCATGTATCCACCCTTATAGAATTATACAGAATCCAAATATAGAATTTTTTAAGTCTAAAGATGGAATACTTTTGAAGTTATTTAAACAAAAATAACTTTCAGTCACAGTATAACTTCAAGCATAAAGTGATCTTAATTTTAGTCCATAAAAAGAATAATTAAAAATATACCTAAAAAATATACTTATTTATATGCAATTTTTCTACATTAAGAAAATTCCCATCATTAAATGCATACATTAAAGAAAGATTAACAATCAGTAAGAACACAGAGCTCTCTATAATAGTTAGGCAGTATTCTATTTTGGTGAAACTTTTAAAAATAGATACAGAGTATCTGTATCATTTCTCAAAACTATTTTCAAAAAAGCTATTCCATGGGTACTTGTAAGCATGTGTATACAAGTTTCACATTTTACCTTTCTGTAGGAATCTTCTATCGTTGGGTCATATTTTTCAACAAAAATTCCCTGAACAAATTGAACTGTCTAGAAAAAAAAAAAAAGCAGATAAAAGTTAAGGACTTGAAAGAAAAACCAGCCCCTCTTACAGGTCATTTAATGTCACAAAGTGGTAAAGATTAAGTGAAATTATGTGAAAACTGTAGGTGAACATGCAAACATAAAGTATCATTGTTTTTCCATATAAGAACACATTCATAATTAAGAGTATATGAAAGGAGGTGGTCATGTTAAAAACTGTCAGCTGATATTACACCTTAAAATAATTACTATATTAAGTTTTAAAATACAACCAGGATACACATAAGGACATGGATTCTCATTTACTAAAATGTGAAAATTTATCAGTGTTTCCTATTACCTGCCTTTATATATCTATAGCAATTTTTATCTCATGCTCTCAAAGGATAGAGGCAAAAGTTATAAGTTTTAAAAAGTTTTGAAACAATCTTTCTAATTGTGGGGGGTAAAAAAAAGAGGGAATTAAAATTTATTGAGTTTATTAAATTTATAATCACAGTCACATTTCATATTCACCCCAGAAGTAGTTATTTTTCTCTTCTGCCAGCTGAGATTCAAATGTCATTCACACTTCAATTAGCCAGAGGAATATTTTATACACTATTTTAGCTTGAACTAAATAGGTCAACTTGAATATAGTCAGCTTCAACTATCTATAATAGTGGTTCCATCTCCTCAGCTCTCATTTACTCTTCAATCCACCCAGGATGGTTATGGTATCATCACCTTACTGAAGCTGCTTTGATCATAACCAACAATCTCTGTGTTATGACTTCTGTGCAGTCATGTAAAGGTACTCTTTATATCCAAGTACAAAGATAAACATTGTTCCATCTTGGATCCTTCGATCCTACCTACTCTTTCAAGGTTGAGAGGTACTCAGAGCACTGTCCTGACTTCTCTCTCTCTAGTCCCTCCCTAGACAACCTCATTAATTCCTATGGATTTCTATTTTTAATTAATTAATTTTATTTTAAAAAGGTAATTCATGGACATAGGAAAAAATGTAAAAGACACAAAAGCATATGTAATGATAACTAAACCTATTTATTACCACTTTTTCCAGTTCTATTCCCAAGGAAGTGACTGATATGCTATTTGTAACTTACTGAACCTTGCAGAAACAGTGTCTGTTCTTTTGTAATATCTCCAACTTCCTTTCTTATCTCTATGAAGAAGACTGTGACTATTTTGTTCACAGTTGTAACTTTAGTCTGATGTTGTAGAAGCTCAATAAATAACAAATAAATACAGCATGTGTACAAAAAATGACCTTTATGCTACTTAAGTCTGGGGTGGGGTAGGATAGGAATTATTCTGCTGGTACCTTTAATGATCAGTCTTCCCCATTAGAACGTAAATTCCTTAGAAATGAGAATAATTTCTTTCTTTTAAATCACAAACACTAACATTTGACATATAATAGGTAGTTAATAAATATTTGGTCAATGAAAGAAGAGCCACCATTATAAAAATACACATCCATGGTTACTGAATGAGTCTGTGTCCCCCGGTGAGCCAGATACTAGGCACATAAAAACACTGCCACTTTTTCTCTTTAGTGACTAAAAAAGGCAAGAAAATATGAACGTCCTTTTTGTATTATATTAATTCATTATAGTTAGGTGGCTAACTTACCAGAGCAGACTTCCCCACGCCTCCTGAACCAAGGACCACTAGCTTGTACTCACGCATGATGTGGTCTGTTTAAATACTGACAATCTGAAAGAAAAAAGTCAAAGATTAATAAACATGCTAAGAATAGCCTAAGAACATACAACTGTTACATAAAATAACATGAGATTTTCATTTTCATTTGTTTGTTTGTTTTTCCTGAAAACTATCCAAAGTTCTGACCAGAGGTCTTCTTTGTTGAAAAATAGGTAATTCATGGGAAATCCCAGAATCCTCATATTTTTTTGTTTTGTTGTTTAGTCGCTAAGTTGTGTGTGACTCTTTTGTGACCCCATGGATACAGCCCGCCAGGCTCCTCTGTCCATGGGATTTCCCAGAGACCGAACCCATGCCTCCTGCACTGGCAGGCAGACTCTTTACCCCTGAGCCACCGGGGCTCTCCCATTCATCCTTTAGTACCGAAGTCAACAAACCAGGGCTTCCCTGCTGACTCAGCTGGTAAAGAAGCTGCCTACAATGAGGGAGACCTGGGTTGATTCCTGGGTTGGGAAGGTCCCCTGAAGAAGGGAAAGGCTACCCACTCCAGTATTCTGGCCTGGAGAATTCCATGGACTCTTCAGTCCATGGGGTCGCAGAGTTGGACATGACTGAATGACTTTCACTTCACTAAACAAACCCTAGAGTAAAAAAAATACTCTGTTCAGTTCAGTTGCTCAGTTGTGCATAACTCTTTGCGACCCCATGAACCGCAGCACGCCAGCCCTCCCTGTCCATCATCAACTCCCAGACTTCACCCAAACCCATGTCCACTGAGTTGGTGATGCCATCCAACCATCTTATCCTCTGTCATCCCCTTCTCCTCCTGCCCTCAACCTTTTCCAGCATCAGGGTCTTTTCAAATGAGTCAGCTCTCTGCATCAGGTGGCCAAAGTATTGGAGTTTCAGCTTCAACATCAGTCCTTCCAATGAACACCCAGGACTGATCTCCTTTAGGATGGACTGGTTGGATCTCCTTGCAGTCCAAGGGACTCTCAAGGGTTTTCTCCAACACCAGTTCAAAAGCATCAATTCTTCGGCGCCCAGCTTTCTTCACAGTCCAACTCTCACATTCATGCATGACCACTGGAAAAACCATACCCTTGACTAGATGGACCTTTGTTAACAAAGTGATGTCTTTGCTTTTTAATATGCTGTCTAGGTTGGTCACAGCTTTCCTTCCAAGGAGTAAGCGTCTTTTAATTTCATGGCTGCAATCACCATCTGCAGTGATTTTGGAGCCCCAAAAAATAAAGCCTGACACTGTTTCCCCATCTATTTCCCATGAAGTAATGGGACCAGATGCCATGATCTTAAGTTTTCTGAATGTTGAGCTTCAAACCAACTTTTTCACTCTCCTCTTTTACTTTCATCAAGACGCCCTTTAGTTCTTCTTCACTTTCTGCCATAAGGATGGTGTCATCTGCATATCTGAGGTTACTGATATTTCTCCCAGAAATCTTGATTCCAGCTTGTGCTTCATCTAGCCCAGCATTTCTCATGATGTACTCTGCATATAAGTTAAATAAGCAGGGTGACAATACACAGCCTTGACATACTCCTTGTCCTATTTGGAACCAGTGTGTTATTCCATGTCCAGATCTAACTGTTGCTTCCTGACCTGCATACAGGTTTCTCAAGAGGCAGGTCAGGTGGTCTGGTATTCCCATCTCTTTCAGAATTTTCCACAGTTTATTGTGATCCACACAGTCAAAAGCTTTGGCATAGTCAATAAAGCAGAAATAGATGTTTTTTCTGGAACTCTCTTGCTTTTTCAATGATCTAGCAGATGTTGGCAATTTGATCTCTAGTTCCTCTGCCTTTTCTAAAACCAGCTTGAACATCTGGAAATTCTCGGTTCATGTACTGCTGAAGCTTGGCTTGGAGAATTTTGAGCATTACTTTACTAGTGTGTGAGATGAGTGCAACTGTGTGGTAGTTTGAGCATTCTTTGGCATTGCCTTTCTTTGGGATTGGAATGAAAACTGACCTTTTTGAATCCTGTGGCCACTGCTGAGTTTTTCAAATTTGCTGGCATATTGAGTGCAGCACTTTCACAGCATCATCTTTCAGGATTTGAAATAGCTCAACTGGAATTCCATCACCTCCACTTGCTTTATTCACAGTGATGCTTCCTAAGGCCCACTTGACTTCACATTCCAGGATGTCTGGCTCTAGGCGAGTGATCACACCATCGTGATTATCTGGGTCGTGAAGATATTTTTTGTACGGTTCTTCTGTGTATTCTTGCCACCTCTTCTTAATATCTTCTGCTTCTGTTAGGTCCCTACCATTTCTGTCCTTTATTGAGCCCATCTTTGCATGAAATGTTCCCTTGGTATAGTACAGGAGACAGGAATCAAGACCATCCCCAAGAAAAAGAAATGCAAAAAGCAAAATGGCTGTCTGAGGAGGCCTTACAAATAGCTGTGAAAAGAACAGAAGGGAAAAGCAAAGGAGAAAAGCAAAGATATACCCATTTGAATGCAGAGTTCCAAGGAATAGCAAGGAGAGATAAGAAAGCCTTCCTCAGCGATCAATGCAAAGAAATAGAGGCAAACAATAGAATGGGGAAAACTAGAGATCTCTTCAAGGAAAAAAATACTCTACATGCTTCCAAAAAAAGCTTAAAAACAAGCCTTAAAGGATTGAGTCAATCTATAGAAAACTGCCTGTCAGGAGAAGTCCGAAATTTTTTTAAAGAAGAAAAAAAATATCCCACCATTCAATAATATAAAATTTACAATGTCCACAACATCCAAAAAAATTAATACAGATGACAAAGAAAATATGAACTGAAATTAGCGTGGAATCAGTCAATTGAAACAGTCCCAGAATTGAGACAATGGTATCAGTCAATAAGAATTCTAAAACTGATATGATAAATACACTCAAGGATTTAAAGGAAAATATAACGAGGAGAGAAATGGTAGACATAAAAAACAACCAAAATGAACTTTCAGTGTTCAAAAATAACATCTGAAATGGAATTATAACCAGATGGGCTTAACAGTATATTAAACACTCAGAAGGAAAATTCAAAGGAACTGAGATAAAGATAGTAAAAAGTTGATGAGGAGGAGGGTAGAGTGGAGAGACAGAGGGGGATGGAGGGAGAAAAGAAAAGGAAGAAGGAAAATAAAAGAAGAAAGAAGAAGAAAACCACAGGACAGCATCTAGCTATCAGGTAGGCTAATACGCACGTAACTAGAATGGCAGGGGAGGATTTTAAAAATAAAATAAATAATAAAATACTTTCAAAATTTGATAAATTATAAATCCATAGACCCAGGAAATTCAATGAGTCCTCTCCTTAGTATAAATACAAAGAAAAGAACAAGGCACAATAATTAAATTCCTGAAAGTTGTCAAAAAGACAAAATCATAAGAAGCCCAAAGAAAAAGTTTAGATATAGAAGAACAAAGTTATGAAAATATGTAGATTTTCTCAAGAAGCTAGGCAAAAGAAAATACATCTTTCAAATGCTTCAAGAAAAATACGGTCAACCTAGAATGCTGCTGTCAAAAATGAAAGTGAAATAAAAAATCCTCTCAGATTCCCAAAAAAGAAAGAAAAACTGAGGAGAGGAAAAACGCTCACCAGCATGCACTTAATATACCATAGCGAAGGAAGGGAGCAGGACAAATAATGTTCAAGGTTCTTACATTATATCTGCAGTAGTACAGTAATATCATCTGAAGGTAGGTAATTATGTATCAGGGCTCCCCTGGTGGCTCAGCTGGTAAAGGAATCAGCCTGCAACGCGGGAGACCTGGGTTCAATTCCTGGGTTGGGACGATCCCCTGGAGAAGGGAACGGCTACCCACCCCAGTATTCTGGCCTGGAGAATTTCATCGACTGTACGGAGAATTTCCATGGGGTCGGACATGACGGAGTGACTTTCACTTTCATTTTCAATTATATATTAATAATGCATACTGTACATACTAGAGCAACTACAGGGGTAGAAGGGCAGGGGAGAAAGGGCTTGGTTAATAAGCCAAGAGCTGAGATAAAATGAAATACTGAACAAAACAATTCATCCACAAAACAGCAGGAAAAATACAAGCAACCAAGCACAGAGGAGATGCGAGAAATACAAAACGGGACAGAATTAAAAGGCAATTTGGAGAAGGCAATGGCACCCCACTCCAGTACTCTTGCCTGGAAAATCCCATGGACGGAGGAGCCTGGTAGGCTGCAGTCCATGAGGTCGCTAAGAGTCGGACACGACTGAGCGACTTCACTTTCACTTTTCACTTTCATGCGCTGGAGAAGGAAATGGCAACCCACTCCAGTGTTCTTGCCTGGAGAATCCCAGGGATGGGGGAGCCTGGTGGGCATCTGTCTATGGGGTCGCATAGAGTCGGACATGACTGGTGACTTAGCAGCAGCAGCAAAAGGCAATTACATCATTATATTAAATGTAAATCATCTATTCTAATAGTCCAACATTCAAATTCAAAGGCAAGATTAAAAAAAACCCAAGACCTAATTATATGCTATCCTCAAGAAACAAATACAAGAAAAGTTAAAAGTAACATTTACTAGTGACAAAGTCACAGTTGGTGCTAACAGTACCACTGTGGTTTGTCGCCTGAATCCAAAATAGAAACAAATACTAAATTTCATTTAGAGGTTGTTGTTAGTGTTAAGTCCTCTGACTCTCTGCGACCACACAGACCAGCACGCCACGCTTCCCTGTCCTTCGCCATCTCCTGGAGTTTGCTCAAACTCATGTCCACTGAGTCAATGATGCCATCCAATCATCTCATCCTCTGTTGCCCCCTTTTCCTTCTGCCCTCAATCTCTCCCAGCATCAGGGTCTTTTCCAATGAGTTGGCTCTTCACATCAGGCGGCCAAAGTACTGGAGCTTCAGCATTATTCAGGGTTGATTTACTAACCTTACTAACATTTAGAGGTTAGTAAAAAATCTTTTTTCTTTTTCTGTACAAGTGCTGGGGACTCTAGATTCTGACTCCCTCCCTACCTATTCTAAGCAATTAGCATTTTAGGTTACTC